ACGGAACACCTGTAGACACCCTCCGCAGCACTGAAACGCATCGGCAAAGGCAAGATGCGTTGGGTTGCCCGATCAGGACTGGCAGCCGATCACTGTCCCTCAGCCAAAGGGTCTTTGCAGCGATCGGCACTCCGTTTACTCAGCTCCGTAATGCACCACTGGCGCTCGCTATCCGTCCCTAACTGAGGCAAGCGAGGCGTAGAGTACACAGCATTGTCCCGGAGAGAACCAAGATGAGGGGCGGCAGACATGGCCTCGGGGTGAGGTGAGGTGAGAGAAGAGGCAGTCAGTCTATTGGATGTTAAGCGTACTCAATCCTGCCGAGAAAAACCGAAGAAGCCCATGGTCAGAAAACCCGAAAGAGCCCATGGTCGAGGAAAAAACCAACGAAATGGAATGATCCGAATCCTCAACGGCCCTCAGCACCAAATCAGGATGGACACGAGAATAGGAACAACGGTCAAACGGGCCTTCTCATCTCGGCGTTTCTCATCACACAGCACAGCAAGCTGCCCAACGGTGTGGAGCCCTCCACTCTCCCATTCATTGACTCCTCTTCCACGCAGTTCTGGATGCCAACCCAGATCTCGGGCCCCATGGGGCTGGTCTGGTCTGGGCCTGGCCTGGGTGCAATGGGACGTTGTGGTGTTCTCTCCGTAACGACGGAACGCTAGAAGCCGTCCACAAATCTAAATATACCGGTATCAGAGCACATCGACGCGTTTACGGTGAACCGCCGATTGATTATGCGATGCGATAGTCTGGACAAGACCCAACAGCTTCGGCCCTACTTCGTGCAGCAGCATTTCTAGTCTGGGCAATGGCGGCCGACTGAGCAGAAGCGAGCGTGTGCCGCGGCCGGTTTATGTTCTCCATGTGACTTGTAGATGCGAGCAGACGGGTAATCGGAGGCTCTAGCGAATGCCTCGAGGTGAACATCCCACAAAGACAGCTAGCGCACCGGAGCAGCTGATTGATGGTCCCTTGATCGGGGGCATCGTGTGTTTGATGCGCGGTGAAGCCAGATGCGAGCCAGATGGTTGGTTGCAGCGGACAAAGAGCCTGAAGCCCGGCGCATTGGGTGACATCATGCACTGAGCCCAGCCCTGTGGTAGCACCTAAAGATGTCCCTGTCAGTGAAGCAGCAGCGAGTTTTCCGCCTAGAGCAGCGCCTGGAGAGAGACAAGCGCTGGCTCTAGGCCCTGAAAGGCAGCGATCACGGGATGCGACTCGCTAACGGCCGGAGCCAGAGCCAATCAGGCGCTGGACGTCGCTGTGGCTCGACTTAGCGTCCGTCCCATTTCCCTCCATCGCATTAGAGTAAAGTGGAGGATTCACACCCACACTCCCCTCCCCCATCCATCTCGGCCACTCCCCCAGATCAACCCACACACCAGGAGCTTCGTGCAGCAGGAGGGTGCCATGCACATCGTATGCGGCCTGCAGTGGTGGCACGACCTGATCGGAACGATTCCATTGTGGTTATGTGCCATCAGGATACCACCACACCTCGTCTGAGACATTGACAGAGCGACTCTCGTTGCAACGTGGTTTCGAGGGACCACCCATCGATCTCGTTCCCGGCTTGATGAAAGTGAATTTCACGTAGTTGAAGAGACGTCAATCATCATGACACGCCGGGATTGCCTTGGCTTGCCTTGACTCGCCTGACCGGACGGACTACCTACCCTCGTCGTAGCACCCGAGCCTGATGACGGCCGAGAAAAGGCAAACCCGGCATCGTTTGCCTCTCGGACAGACTCAAGCTCGCTCCTGGTCCAAGCTTGGCAATGGCATGGCTCCATGTGTGCCCCCTGTCGAGCTCCAGTCGAGTTGACCCGGGGGAAGGGGGGAGGAGTCGATTCACACCCACGCCATGCCACTGCCATGCACCACCAACTGACTGTTTGTTTGTCCTTTCTCGCCGCCACCTCGGCCGCTGCAGGGTCCATTTCTCTGACCGCGGCCGGGGTCGTGTGAGTGATTCACCCCATCCCGGCCCCATCCCCATGGCGTCCCCATCCCATGCCCTCCCATCCCAGAGGAACTATGGGACCTACCTAGACGAGGTAGACAGATGCTGAGCTTGCTGAGTCTGCGAGGCAAGCTGCTAATTAGCTGTTCGTGAGCACCAGCCTGGGTCCGGCTCCTTACGTTGCATTGCCTTGCTCCTGCCCAACTATTAAAACCATCGCATCTCGCCCTCCTTCCCTGCCCCGCGTTCTCGCCAGACCGTGTGTGCTTTCCTGTCTCACTCGCATTGCCCTGAGCACCTCAGCTTCTCTCTTCCTCCTCATCAGCAGCATCTAAGACCTCTGTTGAGACATCGATCCACAAGCAAACCGCCATCATGTCTACCGACGAGAAGGGCGTCGAGACTCACTCGGCCGCAGTCACTGCGCTGCGTGCCCCCGAGACCGTGGAGGCCATTGAGGCCCCCGTCACCTGGAAGGCCTACCTCATGTGCGCCTTCGCCTCCTTTGGAGGTATCTTCTTCGGTTACGACTCCGGTTACATCAACGGTGTCAACGGCTCCAAGATCTTCATCGAGGCCGTCGAGGGCGTCGGTGCCACTGAGCTGGGTGAGGACCACCTGACCCTCATCACCTCCATCCTCTCTGCCGGTACCTTCTTCGGTGCCATCGCTGCCGGTGATGTCTCCGACTGGATCGGCCGTAAGTGGACTGTCATCATCGGTTGTGCTATCTACATGTTTGGTGTTGTCATCCAGATGATTACCAGCCCCGATCATGCTCTCGGTCCCATTGTTGCCGGTCGTCTCATTGCCGGTGTTGGTGTCGGTTTCGAGTCTGCCATTGTCATCCTGTACATGTCTGAAATCGTAAGTCTACCTCTATTCGACGCATCAGTTTGTCCGTCTACGACAGACTCGCTAACTAAACTCCCCAGTGCCCCCGCAAGGTCCGTGGTGCCCTCGTCGCCGGTTACCAATTCTGCATTACCATCGGTATCATGCTTGCTTCCTGCGTCGTCTACGCTACCAAGGATCGCTCCGACACTGGCGCCTACCGTATCCCCATCGCCATCCAGTTCCCCTGGGCTATCATCCTTGCTGGCGGTCTTATGATGCTTCCCGATTCTCCTCGATACTTTGTCAAGAAGGGCAAGCTCCAACAAGCCATTGACGCTCTGTCCCGTGTCCGTGGCCAGCCTGCCGACTCCGTCTACGTCCAGACCGAACTCGCCGAGATCGTCGCCAACGAGGAATACGAGCGTGCTCTTATCCCTGATACTACATGGTTCGGTAGCTGGGCCAACTGCTTCAAGGGTAGCCTCTGGGATGCCAAGTCCAACCTCCGCCGTACTATCCTCGGTACCTCTCTTCAGATGATGCAGCAATGGTGAGTGATCAAAATAACCCTGGGTTCGCACTGGTTGAAATGCGCGTTGTCGCAAACCAAGGGCGGTCGCCACAAATTGCAAGTTGCTAACAAGAACACACAGGACCGGTGTCAACTTCATCTTCTACTACTCCACCCCCTTCCTCGAGTCCACCGGTGCCATCCAGAACTCTTTCCTTATGTCTATGGTCTTCACCATCATCAACGTCTTCTCTACTCCTCTGTCCTTCTGGACTGTTGAGCGATTCGGTCGCCGTACAATCTTGATCGTTGGTGCCTTCGGTATGCTTGTCTGCCAGTTCATCGTCGCTGGTGTAGGCATGTCTGTCGGTTTCAACAAGACTCACGTCGACCCCAATGACCCAGAGGGCAAGAAGATGCTGGCTGACAACGTCGGCGCCGTCAACGCCCAGATCGCCTTCATCGCCATCTTCATCTTCTTCTTCGCCTCCACCTGGGGACCCGGTGCCTGGATCGTTATTGGCGAGATCTTCCCTCTGCCCATCCGATCCCGTGGTGTCGCTCTCTCTACCGCCTCCAACTGGCTCTGGAACACCATCATCGCCATCATCACCCCCTACATGGTCCACACCAACAAGGGTAACATGAAGTCCTCCGTGTTCCTCGTCTGGGGTGCCCTCTGCACCAGCGCCTTCGTCTACTCGTACTTCCTGATCCCCGAGACCAAGGGCCTCACCCTCGAGCAGGTCGACAAGATGATGGAGGAGACCACTCCCCGCACATCCGCCAAGTGGAAGCCCACCACCACTTTCGCCTCCCAGGCCGGAACCAAGGATGGTTACCTCGACCCCGCTATCGTCGAGGAGACCGAGCGCCGTGGCTCCAAGGTCTAACCGCCTTGAATCTTTATCCATCACAAGAAGGGTAAGGCTCCACGGCAGGAGAGGACCAAGCCTCGTAATCATCCGGGAGAGCTAGATTCTCAGGAGAAGGGAATAAACTTTTAATTAATTCTGTGAATAAGTCAGTCATTATATACCCAGACAGCTCCAGAGGAGATGTAACAGAAATTAGGGAGAGGGAGGATCAGCTTAGAGCTTTTCACAAATATGTCTATGTGTCTATCCCAGAGTAGAGCAATTGCATACATTTCTTCCAACTTGATGCGTCCAGTGAAGATTACAAGTGACTGATTATGCCTCGCTTAGGGAAGCTTGACTCGAACCTATGTTGTGCTCTGCCCCTTGTGACCCAGAAGATATTTAGTTGGTTGTGAACATTCAATCAGGAAACGAGGGGTGGGGTTTTGAAAAAGTAGGATCGCCGGCTCATGATTTAATGCCTGGTGAGATGCGAGATGTATTCATTCCGCAGAGGTCGATGATCAGCTGCACACCATATGATGGTAGAAGAGTCTGACAAAAAAGCTCTAGTCAAAATAGAGTTCCTCAAGTTAACAAAGAAGCAGGGAAACATGAGACTGCGCTCAGAAATCACAGCCACATACTAGGGGATGAACTATGCTTTGGTTGCTTGTAGCATAACCAATCCTAGGGAGAGGAGTTCCAAAACATTTCAAGGACGTGGTAAAAATCACAGGAATCATTGTTCTCCGACACCGCATAATTGATTATACTAAGTTAATGCGTATGATATAAATGCCAATAAACATGACTATCAATAGTCTGGCGGTGACCAACCAGTCTCCACCTCTTCACCATAGAAGACACTGCTGAGTCTCATAGGTGCCCCATTATCAGGTCGAATGCTACACTACTAGTCAGTACAAAATGACGCCCATCCATGGGAAATCAAGAGTTCATGGTGGGTGTTATGCAACGTACAGCTCAAGAGAGAAGCAATTCTCCGCTGAGACTCGAAAGCTCCGGGTACGACGGTGGTAGTCCCACTTGAAATCCCCTTCCTTTGACAGCACATGTTCGAGGACGTATCTCACGTTCTCCTCCCCGAATATTTCTGCGTCGATGAGCATGTTCCACTGGTAGTGAGATACAGGCATTTTGCAGGTTTGAGTTTGCTGTTTAGCAGATTGTGTGGTTTTGGAGTCTTTTTAGAAAGGAAAGAAAAGGATTGCCAAAGATATGAGACTGGTTATTGCTTGGTATTAAGGTTGATTGATGAAGGGGTCGAAAGATGCCAGGGAATGGGTGACATTTATAATCAAATTCATCTTGCAGGATTATCCAACATCATCAATTCACTTGAAAGCCTATGTGCTTGATCCGTTTGTTTCGAGGGGAGACAAAGCTGTGAAGAGAATTCGGTTTGTCTGCGCTGTTGGCTGGCTTGGCCGTATTCACAACAATGAATGGAGAAGACTAGTCTTTGTCGGACTGTTAACCAAACGGCTTGTGAGAAGGTGACAACAAGTGATCCCTAAATTAAAAATTTAAGACACTTCAACCTAAAAAAAGCATGCTGTGATGGAGCATGTTCTCCTGTCTCATTGTGCTGGGTTGAAGCTCTTTTTTTAGGATATCATGTCGCTTGGCCATGACCTTAAAGCTATCTCTGATACATCTAGTAGAAGGCACAAAGTGTAGTGAATCTAAAGTCGTGACTTGAATCAATCACCAATTATATACCATTACGGGTGAATGAAAGCCTACCTCTCACAAAGCTTGGATTCTCACGCGAGCCATTTCTTTACGAAATCATCCATATCTACAGTCTGGTCTCACATCACGCTGATCAAGCATCAAGTTTGAGCATCTAATCGTAATTATTATTGAGTATATTCTACCAAACTACTAATCCAGCCTCGGGGCCGGGCTGGGAACTGCCTTTCTAGTCACCACGGGTGGTGGTGGACTGGCAGGCGGCTGGGCTGCCTCCATCTCATGCACCCTCTCCGCAGACGCAGGCGGCGGCCCGGGCGGCGGCGGTACCTCAGCGGCTGAATCTGACGGCAGCGACAGGGCTGGTAGCTGGGGTGCCACGGCGGCCACAACGGGTGGTGGTGATGGTGGTGGGATCTCGTCTGCCGGCTCGGGTGAAGAGCTGGGGATGGCTTCGGGCTCGGGCTCGGGATCCTTTGGAAGGTATGCGGCGCCGTATGCCGACCCGTATGCCGCAGGAGGGTTGAAAACGGACTGGCTAGCTACGGAGCCTCTGTTTAAGGTATCACCTGACATGGAGACTGTCGGCGTGTGGCCCGGCCATGGCTGGTACTGCCTGTCGCTGCTGCTCGTGTCGTAGCTGCTCATGCGCTTCTGGTAAGGAACACCGCCGGCAGCAGCCAGCGAGGGGGGGACGGGGAAATTCATGGGACCCTGCTGGCTCGCCCTCACGAAGCTTTCGGGCGAGACGCTCCGGTACGACTGAGATACGTGGCGGCTGGCGGCGGGCACAGCTGCGGCAGCGGGGGCGGCGACGAGCGGCATGTAGGCGGACTGCTGCATGGGGGCTGAGGAGCCGCCGCCGGCCCCGTCGAGGGGTCCGCGGAAGGCCATGACGGGGTCCTCCTCGGCGCTCAGGTCGCGGGCGAAGGGGCTCTTGATCTTGCCGGACCGGATGAGCCAGAAGATGAGGACGGCAAGGAGGGCGAGGCCGACGAGGGAGCCGACGATGGCGCCGGCGATGGTGCCGGGGGGCGCGCCACCTGACTTATTGTCGCTACTGTCGCTACCGTCGGAGCCTGCGAGGGCCGTGGCCGTGCAGAAGGAGGTCCTCGAGGCCTGGATGTTGGCTGAGGAGGAGTAGTAGCTCTGGGCGTTGCTGGGCATGGACTTGTACCAGTCCGGGGTGGTGTAGTAGGATGTGTACTGGGTTGCGAGGAAGCAGGCTGACTCCGGGTCGGTCTGGGCCGCGGAGGGCACAGCAGTCCGGATGATCTGAGCGATGGAATCGGACAGCGTTGTTGAGCTGTCGCCATCAGTCGTCGTCGATGCAGTGGTGCTGTCTGTTGATGATGCGGTGGTCGACTCTTCGGATGAGGTAGAGCTACTGGTGGTGCTCTCCTCTGTGGAAGATGAGGAAGAGGATGAGGTTTCCTTCGAGCTGGTGCTTGAGGATTTGCTCGAGGTTGTCGATGTAGAAGTCGGCTTTGACGACGTAGAGCTTGTCGATGTGGGCTTGGAGGAAGTCGAGGTCGTCGAGCTTGAGGTAGGTTTGGCTGATGAGGAAGACTTGGAAGAGGTGGTGCTAGTCGTCTTGGAGCTCGAGGTCGTCCTGCAACGGCCTGATCCCAAACATTCGGTGCCCTCGTCGCAGTATGATTTGCCACTACAGCAATCCGCGTTTTCGGGCATGCAGCCACTGCCACACGGCGCTTGGCCGTCCTTACAGCTGGATTGGCGCAGGTGCAAGAGCGAGTCGAACATGCCGTCGAGGGCATTTCTCGGAACCTCGCGGATCTCATGGCTGTCATAGAGAGCATTGGCGTTTGTGTAGGTCAGGAAGTCGTCGGGGGCCGCTGTCACGACGGGAGCAGCCCCATCCTGAGAGACGGATAGCTTCATCTTCAATGTATTACAGACCGAATCGAAACAATAGATCGATGGCGAAGAAGCAATTAAGATGACATTAGAGGCTTCACCATATGAGTGTCTGCCTGCCCAGTATGAGGCTGCGTCGATCGTCCGAGGAGCAAACAGAGAAAGAGGGTCGGTAGGATCAGTCGACCGGCTGGGCGGGAACTAATATGTGAAGCGGGATTAACACCCTGGAGAAGCAGTAATTTATTCGACGAAAGCGCAATGTTAGAGTGTCTATTAATATCTTTCAGCCCAATCGGCATGTGGCCTCCATCTGAAACGTCCCCATCACAATCCTGGTGGACCATGGCAACCGTCCAACCACAGTAGCAGCCACTCAATTTTCCTAGTGCCATGCTTAGACAGGATTGAGCTGAAGGCTAATTAATCTAATGGTGATTTTGAGGGAAAAAAGCGACTCGATTTGAAAGCAAGGGGGGCGCACACGAGGTGGGAGATGGGTGAGGCGAGAGACGGGGACAGCCTTGACCGAGTCTGAGTCTGAGTCCCCAGCAACCGGATATTACCAAATGGGACTTTGGACCCAGGACGGGCATTTTGCACATACCAACAGTGAGCAATTCCCATGTCCAAAAACCAGTGCTGACCAATGGTGGGCCGGCTGAAATGGAAGGATGCCTGTGCTGTTGCTTCTGCACGGCCAGCAGAACCAACATGTTGAGCACCTAGCTACATTTCTTTACGCCATCCAAGAAGAGTAATTGATGAAGGCCGGGCTTACGGGTCGTCTGGAGCTGGCCACAGAAGCGGCCGCGAGCAGATGCTTCGCCTCAGACCAAAGTCCCATCCCGCCAGCGCAGAATGTCTCACTCACAAGCTAAGGGTTTGCCGAGATCATCATCAAATGCAAACGTCGCGCCGCGGAAGACGAAATTCAAGAAGAGCAGCTCCTAGCGGGCTTGACTGCTGATCGACATGGGTAGCGAGATGAAATATTTCTCGTCCGATCCTGGCAATCTTATTTCCTGCCGGCCCCTCGCTTGGCGCATTACCATGACTCCAGCCCATCAGTCTAGTCCCAATTGCGATGTCACGCCACCATCACTGTGGCGGTCTGCTTGTGATTATGTTAGTGCCTGTGCTATTACTATTCCCAAGATTTGCCTGTGAGTAAGCACCCAGCTGGCTGTTGTGAAGTGAGTCACGACATATCGTGCTATCTTTATTCGATGACTCTATGCACAAGCGACTTCATAAGCTATATTTTACGACTGAGATGAGCGCAGAGGTCTCACCTTTCCCCGCAATCACGGTGTGCATCCATCCCCAGCTGATTCCAATCCTCATCACGCGTGTCGCAGATCACTGCGCGCGTGGCTTGGTGGGATTTCACCCTTGGTGGCTACCCTATAGCATATAGAATTCCAGTCTCAATTGAACAAATATTCAACTGTAATCTCATGTGTCTAAAGACGACTAAAGAGAGAAAGAGTTTTTTCGCTGTTTATTGTTTTTAATTTGACCATGATCTCTCATTCAGTGGGAAATTCAAAAGACACGGTCAAGCCTTTGTGGCAATAATCAGACACACATGTTATTATTGGGGATGATTTCAAACTCGTGCACTTCCTCATCAAATTTGTTAATCTTTTCATCGATTATAGTAGCGAATTTTTAATGCTTTTTGCTAAGAACTCATTTTAAAAATGCGTCGAACTGGAAACCTCAGAGCTGTAGCGCCCATTCATCGGGCCAAAAAGAACGAGCTTGTAGTCGTATTGGGAGACTGGTCAGTAATTGATTTTTCGTGTGATTGGACATGGGGTATGATTTCGGCAGCCTCCCAAGAATAACAAGACCGAAATGAGAAAGAAGCGTTCTCGGTAGGGGTGTATAATGGCCCCCATGTTTTTCATTCAAAAATCACCTGCGTCATTGTACATCATATGCGTGGAATCTTTTGGGACCCCGACGACTGGGTAGTCATGTTTCTGTGAATTTGCACTCTAGAATATAAAACAAAAGGTTCGAAATGAACCCTGGATCTGTATCTATCTCAATTTGCTTATAGATTTCCCTCTCTTTCTCTTCCGAAGAGGAAGATGTGAGGACGATGACTTGTGAGGAACAGTTATATGCAGAGTTCAAATTATGAAGCCCTTCAGTCCATGGAGCGCAAAAGGAGAATTGTATTTCGTGATACGGAGAAAGTACACAACCAGTTATAAACCGACCAGTGTGTTAGCATGTTGATTAGCCTGCAGTTAGGAGGTGCGCATCAATCAATGCTTGTCAGCCTCTTGCGGAAACGATTCGTATTTGAAGCAAGCGATTTGTTCGTCTGTAGACTATGGCGCACCGCATGACATCAGGGAAACGAAGCACCCACGGATTAGGTATCCAGTGAATATTTTGTAAAAGCCACCGTTTCTTCTACAATAGTTCGATTGACGTGTTATAAACCCCGGTGCATTTCTGGGTGTTGCGGTGAATGTTGCATGCCATTTGAAATGCATCCATAATATGAAATCGATCTAGACAGCCATTCTAAGGCGGTACCTGC